GTTTAATTTTGCAACAATTTACGCTCTGATAACAATAAACCTGTTCTTTTTGTGTTTTAAACTTGCCTCCTTCACTGATTTCCACGTTTGGAGCATTCCACACTACCAAAGGTGCCTCACAACACAGATAGGGATAACCAGAGATCATTTTACCAATATCTCTTATATTATGGTGGCAATTTAAGCTAGAAGTCTCAAATCTTTATTACATCTGTGTGGTGATCCTATTTATTTGGGATTTTACACCATTATTTCATTTTGGAGACTTCCTCACATATTTTGGTGGCAGCAAGTGAACGGTTTTAAATTTTTAGTAACAAGCGGTGGGAGTCACGGCCTCGCACATTTTACAGCTGTTGTTGTATAAGACTCCATTACACTTCGATCCAAAGGCAAAAACCTGTATAGGCTGGAGCAACACCATTGTGGATATTTAAAATTAGAACCTGAACACATAGGCATGTAAAATTGAGTTAATTCTGACCTGAAAGCCTAGCATGGGACCTTTCTGTTTGTATTGCCACAATAGCATGAATAAAGTTCTTAATAGCTATTTCATATAATCTTTTCATTAGTTGAACATAGGTGCTGCAAATGGTTAACATGGATGCTTTAAATGTTTTGCATTTTTTTTGCTGTTTCCCCCTAATGTAGTACTAATTGCATGGATTTAGTAAGTTCTTTGTTTTGCTATGCATGTTCTACTTTTAACTATAGAAAGGAGAGGTAAAAGTGGCCAACTTTAAAAAAAAGGATTAATTTAACAAACCTAATCCATGCTTAAATTGTCATTTATCTAATTTTTTCACCACAGCAGTAGTTGTGGTCCTTTACGGCTCATCTAAATCCTTCAAAGCAGGCATGCATTAAATATGCTAAAACCAATTGATTTCCTTTTTGTTTGCCAAAAAGTGGAAAGATAATTTACCTTTTAATGCTTTCTACCTTATTTTTTCCATTAATATTAAGAAGCATTGCTAACAACAAGGCAGCAAGAGACGATGGGATCCCAGCTGAACTGTTTAAAATCTTGAAAGATGATGCTGTCAAGGTGATGCATGCCATATGCCAGCAAATATGGAAAACACAAGAATGGCCATCAGACTGGAAAAAATCAACTTATATCCCCATCCCAAAAAAGGGAAATGCTAAAGATTGCTCAAATTTTCATACAGTGGCCCTTATTTCTCATGCCAGTAAGGTAATGCTCAAGATCCTGCAAGGAAGACTCCAGCAATACATGGAGAGAGAGTTGCCAGATGTACAGGCTAGATTTAGAAAAGGCAGAGGAACGAGAGATCAAATTGTCAATATCTGCTGGATAATGGAGAAATGCAGGGAGTTTCAGAAAAACACCTATTTCTGTTTTATTGACTATTCTAAAGCCTTTGACTGTGTGGATCATAATAAATTGTGACAAGTTCTTGGTGGTATGGGCATACCAAATCACCTTATCTCTCTCCTGGGGAATCTGTATAAGGACCAAGTAGCAACAGTAAGAACTGACCATGGAGCAACAGACTGGTTCAAGATTGGGAAAGGTGTATGGCAGGGTTGTATACTCTCACCCAACCTATTCAACTTCTATGCAGAACACATCATGCAATGTGCAGGGCTTGACGAATGCAAGGCTGGGGTAAAAATTGCTGGAAGAAAC